ACATCAAAACATTTCAATAAATAACAGGAAATCAACAATTTATAACAAACATTTCAATAAATAACAAGAAATCAACAATTTATAACAATTCACAGTTCAAAATGGCTTAAATAAATTGGGTATTGCATATTTATCTAACACATAGTTTTCTGTAGAGAATAATAATTATTATGAAATTGGATCTTTTTTATGTCACAGTGACAAGAACCTATAGGCTATATATAATATACAGGGTGTCCCAGAACTCGCGCCACATAGAAAACCGGAACGTGCCGAAAGTAACGTGAAACACATATTTGAAAATTAAAATTGTCTAACGCAAAGGATAAGCGAGATAAGAATAAAAAACGATAGCCAATCCCAATAGATGGCCATAGGGAATTCTTTAAATTGCTAGGATACTTAGGTTGCATTGTTGATAATAAAAAATATGTAAAATATTTGGTCCACTGGAATCCAATTCATTGTGACACTGCTATCAAACTCCTGTCATTAATATTATATTAGGTTATAAATTAAGTTATTATAAATAATGTTTTCCTTTGATGATTATACTGAAATGATAATTATTTATTTATTTAGTGTGGGCGCAACGCCAGGGAGACAACGCGAGTTTTTTCCCAGCCCTTTCCTAATCGTTATTTTAAAACATTGGCGTTCTGAAGTAAAAGTCATAGATTAATAACCTCATGGCCTTTTGAAAGCTTTTGACAACTTAGTAAATACAGTTGGCCAAAAGATTTTTAAATGTTTTTAATACAACAATGTTCTATCGTCTCCTAGCAATTTTTAAAGCTGTTACGTTTAACCTAGGCGAGAGCTCTCGGTATTGGCTGCCGCTTTTTTGCTCTCATTCGATTACACTATTACCTAGAAATTTTTTATTTTTAAATTTGGCATCTCCATTGCTATCGGCACGCCCCCTTTTTCTCTGTGGCGCGAGTTCTGGGACACCCTGTATATTAAATATTGCTTGCTAAGATTATAAGATTTCTTATTTTTAATTATTTAAGTATTTTTTTGTCATAATTTTCTCATTAAGAGAATGATTTTTTTTTGAAAATAAGATAACTTAATGTTTGAGCCTAGTACATTTTTTAACTTATAAATGTGTGTAGTAGGTATGTTCTAAACAAGTCAAATACGAGCATAACTTACGCTCGTAACTAACTATAGTTGGCTTGTTTTGTTTTTGCAGAACATACTACACCTAATAATTATTGTGCTCCTAGTTGACTTGTTTTGTTTTTATAAAATATAATTCAAACAATAGTAATTATTATATCTAACAAAAAAAAAAAGAGGTATCTTAATCTTTAGGGTGAGCCAAAAAAACTAACCTATCGGATTTATGGGTTAAAATGAACCTACATACCGAGCAAAAAATTTCCCTGCAAGGCAAAATTTTTTGCTCAATTTTAAAAGGTGTCGGTGAGCATTTTAAGTTTTCCATTGAAATAACACGTAAAAAAATCTTTTTTCATTAAAAAGACTATAACTTTTGAACCGTTTGAGATAAAATTTTTTACGTCGCGGATTCTTGTAGAGCATAAAATTTCCCAAAGAATCTATACCAGGATTATTTTTTTTAATTCAAAAATTTGTATGTTTGAAAGCTTTGAAAAGTGTAAAAAATCACTACAAACTGCAGTTTTAGTGATTTTTTACACTTTTCAAAGCTTTCAAACATACGAATTTTTGAATTAAAAAAAATAATAATGGTATAGATTCTTTGGGAAATTTTATGCTCTACAAGAATCTGCGATGTAAAAAATTTTATCTCAAAAGGTTTAAAAGTTATAGTCTTTTTAATGAAAAAAAAATTTTTTTACGTGTTATTTCAATGGAAAACTTAGAATGCTCACCGACACCTTTTAAAATTGAGCAAAAAATTTTGCCTTGCAGGGAAATTTTTTGCTTGGTATGTAGGTTCATTTTAACCCATAAATCCGATAGGTTAGTTTTTTTGGCTCACCCTATTAATCTTGCAGAAACACGATATCGTGTATGTTTGTTTTGATATATTCAACATTAATATCACAAGAGAGTGAGAATAAATTGAAAATAATTTGACAGAAATTTCGAAAACTACCACAAGTCTGGCACAAGACATAGGTTCATGAAAAGTTCACTCTGCAACAATAAAAACCATTTGTTTTATTCAAGCACAAATGACATCGACAATATTTTAGCACAATATTATATATATTATATACCTTCGGTCATCTATGATTATATCATCGCTGTCAGAATGAAGGGGCCTATCTCAATATTTGGCGAAAAGAGTTATTCCCATAAAAATATATTTAATACTTAAAAGAACCATATCTATGTTGTGACAAACTGGCATATCTTCATAATACACCTTGTGGCCATTATTCAATGAATTATATCCAGTGCTACAGACAAATTGTTAGCAAAACTTAGCTTCAAAACGCTCTCCTGAAAAGTTGTTAAATCAGATATTGGCCACTTCGTTATGACAGCGACGATATATACCTACAACTATTTAGATCTTTATTACCCGAAATTTTCCTGCACGAGATTTTATTCGATATTTACCTTTTTCTGTAGAACTTTTGTACACTACACTACAATAATATACCTACACGCTGATACAGACTCTTTCTAATCTATGCTGATACACGCTTAGACGCTTACACCTTAGAACACAGAACATAGAAAAAGAATAAGGTTATCTTTGGTTATGTCCAAAGAACACTTTGGTTATGTCCTAAAAGCGCAGGGTTGCCTACCTTAAATATTTTGTTCGCGTTTTGGCTTTATAGGGAAACCTCGTACAATTTTTCTAAATAAAAAAAAGGAAATATTAACCAATATTAAATACTTTATAATTAAAGGGGCAAGAGCAAAAATATGTTAACTTTTTTCGAGTTCAAATAGCCACTAAAACCAAAAGTTTGTTTGGCAGAAATACACCCGGCAACGTTGAAACCAAATATTGGCCTATAAAACTTCTAATTTAAAGAGGGGCAATAGTTATTTACCTAACAAGTGCGGAAAGTGATACTTTTCCGCACGCGACTGTAGTTGACCGAACGACGCGAAGCGGAGTTCGGTCAGCAGTCGAGTGCGGAAATGACACTTTGAGCACGTGTTAGGTAAAATGTTTTTTCTACAAGCGTGCGGAAAGTTGCTACTTTCCGCACCCATAACTGTGCGGAAAGTAGCACTTTTCCGCACTAGTGCGGAAAGTTGAACTTTTGTACTTTCCGCACGCTTGTAGCAACTTTCCGCACGCTTGTAGAAAAAACATTGTACCTAACACGTGCTGAAAGTGTCATTTCCGCACGCTTGTAGAAAAAACATTGTACCTAACACGTGCTGAAAGTGTCATTTCCGCACTCGACTGCTGACCGAACTCCGCTTCGCGTCGTTCGGTCAACTACAGTCGCGTGCGGAAAAGTATCACTTTCCGCACTTGTTAGGTAAATAACTATTTTCTACAAGCGTGCGGAAAGTACAAAAGTTCAACTTTCAACTAGTGCGAAAAAGTGCAACTTTCCGCACGGTTATGCGTGCGGAAAGTTGCTACTTTCCGCACGCATAACTGTAGCACTTTTCCGCACTAGTGCGGAAAGTTGAACTGTTGTACTTTCCGCACGCTTGTAAAAAAAACATTGTACCTAACACGTGCTGAAAGTGTCATTTCCGCACGCTTGTAGGAAAAACATTGTACATAACACGTGCTGAAAGTGTCATTTCCGCACTCGACTGCAGTCGCGTGCGGAAAAGTATCACTTTCCGCACTTGTTATAACAAGTGCGGAAAGTGATATCCATTGGATATCTACTGGACATTTTTGCTGCCTGGAAATAATAATAAATTTTTTTTATTGATGTTAATAAACTTGAAGAACATATGTATGAAACAATTTCTGAAAAACGGTTTCTTGCAATTTGCATAAAATTCTCGGAAATTTTCTTTTCGAAACAGTTTGTGAGATATTGTCGAGAAATAATTTCTTCCAACTTGTCAAAATAATCAGAAACTTTTTCTTGAAACAGTTTGTAGGATATTGGCGAGAAATAGTTTCTTCCAACTTGTTAAAATGTTCAGAAACTTTTTTCTTGAAACAGTTTGTAGGATATTGGCGAGAAATAGTTTGTTCCAACTTGTCAAAATGTTTAGAAACTATTTTCTTGAAACAGTTTGTACGATATTGACGGCAATATTTGTGGAAACTGTTTCCGACGAATTGCGGGCGGATTGCGAGAAATGGTAGCAACGACATCTGGTTTCCCTCAAATTTACACTAACTTTACGGAAATGATCGTTGGGAAACTCATTTCTTTTGAATTTCCAGGACTACATGGCTCATTGGGTTGTTAAAAAACATATTTTAGAAAATAACGTTGGCCTATTTTGAAAAAAGAATGGATGTGTGTATGTGTATGTACGTATAAATGTGTATATATAGGATAAATTATGTAAATAAGGGTATACCTAAATGATTTTGTTGTAGTTTGATATATTTGATGTACCTGAATTTTACCATATAATATTTAAGTTTTTAATATAATCATTGACTGTTTTAGAATAGCTTTAGCTAAATAAACTTATTATTTATTTATTATTAAAAGTTAAACACGTTCATTAGAAATTTTTCTTAATTTGCATGCAACGCCTGATGCAAAAATATCATATTCATCCTGTTTTTTCTGTTGCACATTCCGATTTACGTTATGTAAAATTTTAAAAGCATCTGACACTTCTATGTCTCGTTCATTTACGCGACGTCGTTTTAACCCTTTCGTGGGCGCGAACGAAGCCCTTGTAAAAATCTTTTTTTTAGTAACCATATTTTTTGCACCCTTATTATAGGTTTTAGGGGTGGTGGGGACAATTCTTTCCACCGCCTATGGTACGAATAACGCTCGTGGGAAGAGTATTTCCCACTGCCCATGTTAAGATAATTTTTTTATATAAAAATACACCATTTAGCAAAACAAATTTTTATTTAGTGTTATTTATTTGCCATGAAATTTTTTAAAACAAAGAGTTATGCAAAGTGGAACTTTACAGGAGGAGCAGGTAAAGCGCGACCTTTTTTCAACTGCTTTTTTGCTACACATTCTACACCTTTTGTAGTTTTTTTCTTGGCTGGGAAGGTGATTTATTTATATTTATTATAGGTTTTAGGGGTGGTGGGGACAATTCTTTCCACCGCCTATGGTACGAATAACGCTCGTGGGAAGAGTATTTCCCACTGCCCATGTTAAGATAATTTTTTTATATAAAAATACACCATTTAGCAAAACAAATTTTTATTTAGTGTTATTTATTTGCCATGAAATTTTTTAAAACAAAGAGTTATGCAAAGTGGAACTTTACAGGAGGAGCAGGTGAAGCGCGACCTTTTTTCAACTGCTTTTTTGCTACACATTCTACACCTTTTGTAGTTTTTTTCTTGGCTGGGAAGGTGATTTCCAACTTTAAAATTTTACTTCGTCAGGTACAGCACGTTTGTTGGTCAGAAAAGGAACAGCTTTGAATTTTCGTTTACGGGAATTAAATCCAGAAATAAGCTGTCTTGGACTTATTTTTTTTTATCCAGGTTCATTATTATGTATGAATTTACAATTGCCATATCCAAGAAGTAGTAAAATATTCTATGCCACCACTTAGTGGACCTTCTGCCAATTAAATACCTTTTATGGAGCTGGTCAAACCCGTCAACACCCCCCATTATCTGATTGTACAAGGAGACGACTCCGGGACAATTAACCGTTTCCTTTGTACCATCTTTATTTTTCCGTTGTACAGGGTCATTTTTTATATTTTCCCACCCCCGTTAACTTTTTTGTGCCACTATGTATAAAAAAAATGGAAATAGAAAAGTTGTACTGTTTTAAAAATAGTTTTCAGAAAACATAATTTTGTTTATACAGGGTGTTTCAGAAAGTTTAAAAAACAAAAAAATATATTTTCTTAAATGGGACACCCTGTATATTTTGATAGTATTTTTATGCTGATTCCATATATGTAGACATTTGGTTTAGCCGTTTTTGCGCTATTTGACTTTAAAGCTTCTAAAACATTATTAATTTAAAATAATCGTCGCCTTGCATTGCACGACATTAAGAAATACTTAAATGCAATGTGTCAAAAGAGGCGTGAATGACAGCAAAAAAAAAACAAAAAATAAATAAATTCATGTTTAATTGAGAATTATAATTATTAATAATCCATTTTTATACCTATTTTTATTATAACACTATACCTAATAATCTTAATATTATAATTGTTGTATATGCCCACCATTTCTTATGATGCATTTTTGGAAGTTACAAAATATAAGATTCTCGCCCTGAGCTCTTCGATATTAGCATTTCTCTGAGCATATACTTTGTTTTTCAAATATCCCCACAAAAACGCATCTAAAGGCGTAAGATCTGGGCTATTGGGTGGCCAGTGGATGGTTCCCTGACGACCGATCCATGTTTCGTATCTGTTATTTAAAAAATTAGTCACAGGCAGGACATTATGAGGTCGGGCACCATCTTGGTGCCATATCATTTGGACATATTGACGAACTGGAAGCATATCCAAGAGATCTTCTATTTCTTGATTTAAAAATCCCAAATACCTTACGCCAGATAGGGAACCTTCGTAAAAAATAGGGCCTATAATTTGATTGTGTAATATGCCACGTATTTTTATTTCCGATATTTCTTGTGGATTTTGAGTGGCCCAAAAATGTGTATTTTTTCTATTGAATACGCTCGCAGTCGTAAATGTGCACTCGTCCGTCCATAATATTTTATTAAAAAAATGTATATCTTGTTCCTTCCTCAGCAGCATGTTTTGACAAAATTCCATTCGCGCATTTTTATGCGCTTCTTCTAATTTTTGAACTGGCATAATTTTATAAGGATAATACCCGTACTTTTTAAGCGTGTTTCGAATTTTGGTTGCTGACTTATTAAAATACTTGCGGGCATCTTCAATGGATCTGTTAGGGTGTTCTAAAAGTTATTAATTTAGTAAATCATGATGTTTTAATAGTGGTTAATTTCTATTACCTACAACAAAATATCTAATTCTTCATTTTCATCAGTTACGACAACTCGCTTTTTTCTCTGAATCGACTTTCGTTGCCTAAATCCTCGCGCTATGTTACCGAAAGTTTTTCGGTCTGGAACTGCTCTGTTAGGAAAAATGCGTCTATATTCCCTTCTAGCTTCACACGCATTGTTTCTATTTTCATAATACAATCGCAACATTTCAAATTTCTCCTTCTCTGTATAACGCATTTTGTAAATAAATTCAATCCAAAACGATAAATACTTAATTATTTTGGACAGCAACAATAGTTTTTTTGCTGTCATTCACGCCTCTTTTGACACATTGCATTTATTTCTTGGTGACGCAAGGCGACTTCGATTATTTTAAATTATTAATGTTTTAGAAGCTTTAAAGTTAAATAGCGCGAAAACGGCTGAACCAAATGTCTATATATAACTATTATTGTAAATCAAATATAACTATTATTGTAAATCAAAATATACAGGGTGTCCCATTTAAAAAAAAAATATATTTTTGGGTTTTTTAAACTTTCTGCAACACCCTGTATAAACAAAATTATGTTTTCTGAAAACTATTTTTAAAACACTACAACTTTCCTATTTACTTTTTTTTATACGTAGTGACACAAAAAAGTTAACGGGGGTGGGAAAATATAAAAAATGACCCTGTACAGTGGTCATATCTCTGGGAGACGCAAAGTTGGTGAACATATTTACTGGTTTGCTATCCATCCATTTTACTGCAGCCACTTTCTTTATGGTTTTGAACTGAAATTCACCTGGTGCCATTTTTGTTTTATCCTTGTAAATGTCCGGCAACTTCTTCCTATCTCCGCGCAAAGTGGCAACAGCATATATTTTATCTTCTAATAAGGTTTTCATGACCTGAACTGACGTACAAAAATTATCAAATTCTAACATGTAGCTTTTATTTTTTAGTGGCTCTGAAAGCTTTGTTACTACTTTTTCACCTAAATTAGTTGCTCCTTCTACTGTTTTAGATTTTCCTGTGTACATTTCAAATTTGTAGATATATCCAGTTTCTGAATCTGCTAAACACCAAACCTTATAGCCCCTCTTTATCGGTTTTTTGGCATATATTGTTTTATTGATGATCTTCCTTTAAAGGTATCATTGATTCAAGGCAAGGCAAGGTGTAATGAGTGATTATGAATAGATGGAAAAAAACTATTCAGCTTATCAACAAGGGGTCTTACTTTTTAAAATTTGTCATATCCTGGTTGTCCTTTTGCTACCACTTGACTAATGTAATTCAAATGAAGATTCTCTATTAATTTTTTGTATCTTTTCGAAGGAATTACTTGTGAAACAGCACTTACTTCTAAAATTGGATCACTGGACCAATAATTGGCCAATTGAGGCAGATAATGTATTCCCATGATTATCAACATGCCTATTAGAGCTTTCAATTCTGTAATATTAGTGTCTATCCAATTTTTTGAAGGTTCTTCATCATCTTTTTTATTCGCTTTTCCTCGAGATTTCCGTCTCATATTTTGAGAAGCATATAAATTAGTTTGGTCAACTATCAACTGAAAAATTTCATCGTTCAAAACAGCATTGAAGTAGTCAATTTTTTTAGCATTATGAGAGAATACATGGGTTACCTGCGGCTTTCTATCAAAAGTAAGCGTGAGTTCATCAAAATGGCTTGTTTCTTCGTCCCATATTTCTCTTGACTTTTCTTCAGTTTTTTCATTCTTCTTTCGTTTAGTCTTTTCTTCGGTTTTTTTTGTTGGTACTTTTTCAGTTTTTTCTTCTGTTTTTTTTCTTATTTTTTTTAGCTTTTCCTTCGTTTTGTTTTTTAGTATTTTCTTTGTTTATTTCTAGTTCAACGTCAATAGTCGGTTGAAATATATCATTAATTTCATTTTCAGTCGGTCGAGGAAGTTCATTTATCTCAACGTCTTCATTCGGTTGATAAACATCATGAGAAGCCTTGGAAGAGTTTCCAAATTCTGAGTAGGAACTTCTCGATGACTCTCGATCTGAAGGATTTATTTCTAAATAATAATAATAATAATAATAATTTATTTGTTGTAAAGAAACATAATACATTTCATTTTAAAAGTATAAAGAGAAATATACAAAACTAATCTGATACAACAAAATGGACTGGAAGGCAGACTAATCTGATTGTAATTCCAGCCCAAAACAAATTTAAAAACAAAATAAACAAAATTAATATAGGTCCATGACTATTTTAAAATAAAAATTAATGTCCAATTCCTCATATGCATCCTCATCTGGTTCATTTGCCGAGTCCATTGCATCATCAGGCAGACCAAATAAGTAATCTAACGCTTCCTGCGCTTGGTTGGGGTCATCCAGATATTTCCTAAAATAAAAATAAGAAATAACTTTTAGAATTGTAGTACACGTTGGGCGATGGGAAATAAAATTCCTACCTTGAAAAAAAACTGTGATTTTGCTTGCAACTAATTTTTTTCTGGTACCCTGAGGCTGCCGCTAGATGACACTCAAATCACATGTCCGAAAATGAGTGCACACAACCAACAATATGTAAAATAGTGAGGTGGGAAACGTGATACCCACCGCCCATAAAGGGTGAAGTTGGTTTTTGACGGCTTGAATATTTTTGGCGTGTTAGTTTGTGATTCTTGTATTTCATCGCTTACTTCGTTCCTGTCATCATCATCAAGCACTTCTGATAACCAAAAATAAAATGATTGTTTCAGTTACCAAAAACACAGGAGAAATCGATGGTAGTTGAACGCTTGAAATCGCGATCTATGAAATTGTCCTCATTGCATGGATGCGATGGACGGAAAACATATTATTATTATTCAAGCAGGCAGTGATTATTTCAACTATAAGTCACATTTTAGCATTGTGCTTTTTGCTTTGGTTGATGCTAATTATATGTTTACATATGTGGACATTTGATGTAAAGGGAGAATATCCGATGGTGCCATTTTCAAAAATACTAACCCCTATGAAAAACTTCAACATAGACAATTAAAT